GTGGTAAAAAATTTTTAGTACATATACTTCCCCAACAGACTTAAGACCTTCCAATAATTCTGTGGACTTGAAGCATTTCCATTAAAAATTTGACATAGTGTTCATTAACATAAAATGTTAATAGCATCTTCCGTATTTCGCAAGCGAAGAAACACACGCACACACACACACACATATGGATGTAGTTATATAATTACTATAAATGTTATATTTAGGAGGCAAACTTGTTTGATTAAAGATTGAATTCTTTTTTGATTAAATATTGGAATTAATAAGAAGCAAATCCGTGATGGATAAATCTAAAGAAAGACAAAAAAGAAAAAAAACCTCTGATGTTCACAAACTCAGACATCCAATAAATAGAAGATTTAAAGTATTAAGAAAATATGTCAGATTCAAAATCAATTAAGAATCTATATATTCATAAGATTTAATGGTTTTATTTTAATCTGACAATTTTATTACTTCAAACGTTATTTCTGATTTCATATACCATATATATATATATATATATATATATATATATATATATATATATATATATATATATATATATATAAAAAAAAGGTTCAAACACTAATATTCTATAGTTATAACTTATTACATTGGAATCGTAATCATGATCAATTCATCAAACCTAAAATTGAAAAATATATAATTTTTAGGATATTAAAACATGTTAAATATATATATATATATAAATATATATATATATATATATATATATATATATATATATATATATATATATATGAAAAATATAATGTAAACTTATATATAAATATCTATCTATCTATCTATCTATCTATATATATATATATATATATATATATATATATACGTATATATGATTATATATATGTAAAATATATAAATATATATATACATAAATTATATATATAAATAACTATGTAAATATATTTATAAATATATATGTAAATATATATATATAAATATGTAAATATATATATATAGATATATATAAATATATAATATATATATATTAAAACATAATGTATACATATAATATTAATATATATAATACATATTTAATATATATAATACATATTTAATATATATATATATATATATATATATATATATATATATATATATATATATATATATATATATATATATATATATATATATATAATATTTTTTTCTTCAAAAAAAAATTGTCGGATATTTTTTTTCCTCAAAAAATGTATAGCTGGTAATATATTTTCAATGATGTATTGCTGGTAATATTTTTTTCTTCAAAAATTTATTGCCGGTAATAATTTTTTAGAAATTATTTATCTTGTTAAAACCTATTTTTATTCTTTCATTGTTTTTTGCCCCATTATTGGGGTTAACTATTTGCTCATAGCTGGGACACTAACAGGTGCTACTACTCCGGGTCAGGGTGGACCTGGTAATACCAGCAATTAAAGGGTGGTATCACGATCCTCAAAACGTCCTGATCAGAGGCCTTACTGTTGGACGTAGTCTATCGTCGTACCCAGGACGCCGATGTAGTTTATCTTCATACCCAGGACGGGTAGAATTATTTAAGTTTTAATCACATTAATAGCCAATGGATAAGTGGATATTGCAACGGCACAGACAGTGGAATCGTCAAGTTAAGTTGGTGGTATGTGTATGTTGATTTAGAGATGCGATGCGTGATAGTGAAAGAATTTAGGTTACACCTGTTGTGGTTGTAGGTAAACAGATCTTCGATACTTTATGTATCGATTTTATAAAAGTTGGTAATGAAAGGTCGGAGATACAAGTTTATAAATTTCCTAATAAATTCATTTGAAGATATCGGAATCAATATACATTAAGTCCTACCAGCCATCATTCTGTATGCAGGCCAGTTTAAACAGTTTAGCTGCTTTCTTTTTGTTTATCAAGTTTCAATATTACGATATATATTTTGTTACCTTTGTTTTGAAATATATATATATTTTTACTTCACGTTTTTATCACATTGATTATATTTTGAACTACTGCAAAAATATTTCGTATCATTGTTATATAATCTAAATCACATTTTACTTATTTTCCTCCTCATTCGTATAAATTATTTAGTTCTGAAAATATATATATATATATATATATATATATATATATATATATATATATATATATATATATATATATAAATATATATATAGGAAATAATGTATATTTAAAAAAAAGAGGAAAACGCAGACGTTTTTTTTGTTATAATGTGGATATTTTTTGGTATATGTATTAAATTCTATTCTTCATATGAAGCATAAAATATAATTTATACACTAAAACAAATTCACCTCATAACCTAAAATGTTTGGGGTTTCTCCTTTTTAAATATATATATATATATATATATATATATATATATATATATATATATAAGTGAACATAGAAGTCAACACTTAGAGGCGACAGTCTGTTTCATGCTAGATGCAATCGTCAGGCCTCTAAACAGTTGACTTCTATGTTCATTATATGTTTTAACACGATCTAT